TTTTTTTTCAAAATATTCTAGGTGAGAGTATATCGGGTAGTCCTGGTGAATGCTTTGACAAAATAGCGAGGGAGCTAAAAATAAATGAAATGCCAGAATTTCTCAATGTACATCCAGGAGCCGCTGTGGAGAAGTTAGCGAGTAGGTAATATTTTGCACTATAACCCCCTCCGACGTACCTCCGTTCAGAATTAACTTTTTGAATTATGTTAAAGCTCTGTCTGCCTTACAGTTGTTGGACCCATCCACTTCAATAATCTATTTTTTAAAAGTGCGAAGCCTTGCCTAGAGCAACAGTTCATCTTTCAAAGGTCAAAATTCGTGGTTCTTGTGTATCACAACTATGACGCAACATACACATTTATTTTCCAAGTTCTACTGACCACGCTCTTCTTTAAAGGAAGAAATCTACTCCAAAAAACATCGTTTAACTCTGTATCTATTAAATTAATTATGGTTCATCCATCATGAAACAATGGGAGATACGTAGTATTGTAGCCACGGAAGTATATTAATCGACTTTCTTTCATCTCACGTGCGTTATCATCTCCCAGTAGGACGTTGCTATTATTAGATGACCCAATTTTGTTCGTGTCGTGCAAGTCTCAAAAGTAAGATAATTTATTAACACTGTATTATCTTTCTTGAATGCAATGCACCCAACTATAAGGATACAATGAAGTCGGGTTTAGCAAACATCTCTTCATAAATTAATTTTTGTCCTCAAAAAGCGCTTTAGAACAACGCTTGTATCGTTACAAAAAAGTAGGAAACGATATAAAATCTGGGAAGAACGGAAATTCAATTGGTTTGCTATGTTTTAGAAAAATTTATAGATGTATTTGTTTTTGCAGATCATCACCAGATGGTTACTTACGGTATTCCGTAGTAGGTCCACATACTTCGGGAGCAGACATGAATTTTGCGCAGTTGAAGTCTTCCTTCTTAAATCTTGCGAGAAAATATAGGACAGAGGAACATTTCAATGTTGAGGACTTTTGTGCAAGTGTACAGGTGTGTGAAGTCTGTCCCAATTGAATCTCTACGTCGAAATCTGTCTTCAGCATCACGTAACTCGACACATCGCTTCAAAACTGCATAATTGTCTTGAGTACCTAAGCGCTTCCAATCAGTTGCATGACGTGAAGCATGTTGTGATAAGTGGTGGAGTGGCTGCAAACAATTATATTTGTAATGGTAGGTTTGATTTTTTAATGGTGTAGGTGTTAACTTCTTGTTTTCGCAGGAATTGGAAAACTTGCTCATTTACACGGGTTAGAAATTGTAAGGGTACCTCCTCGATTATGTACAGATAATGCGGAGATGGTTGCGTGGAACGGTATCTTGTGTTTGAAAGAGAGGTTGGTTTTATTAAACTTGTGCTTGTTTTTTTCCCATTTTTTTCTGACACTGTCTCGAATCCTTGACTAAGCATATTCCTGGCCAACGTTTCTCTTAACTCATAATTCAGTTCACAAAATATCCATCGATATCCCGACATACCAAATTCTATATATGCTCATGCCCGTTATCTCATCGGTGCTGACTCTCGCGCCCTGGTCCCTTCAAAGCCTACCAGGAAACTTGGAGTAACATCTGTACATGATAATTTACCGCTAAAAGTTTTTGACAAAGAAATTCTAAGGAAACAGCATGAAGAGGCATCCATAGCCAAGTGATATTAACTGCATTATTTGTACTTTGATTGTTGTTGTTTCCGTGATAAATGCTTTATTAGGTTCAAAAGGTTTGGCACTAAATGAACATTTGTTTCTTAAAAATTGGTGGTCTGCGCTGTGTTGATAGAGAACCAAGCAAACACTTTACACTTGGTATTATAATTTAAAAATTTATTTGTACAAAATCTTTGTTTAGTGCCATATTTTTGTGTGTCTGGCAAAGAAAGAATAATTACTCAAGGTGGGGGATAAAACGATTTGCATTGAGATACAACACAAAAGTTTAACTAAATCTGTTTTTCATGCCTGCCGAATGCCTTTCTGGGAAAAATTTTTTTAGTCAAAAAGAAATCACATAGATTGGTAGTAAGCTTTTAGAGCATCATCTTCAAAGTAAAAATATAAGGGACCATTTTAACAAGATCAATACCAATTTCAGTTTGTTTTGATTTGTTATTTTGTGTCCCAAATAATTTTGAATATGTACGCTGTTTCTGACACAAAAATACGTCTATAACTTATTTTACAAACTTTGTTAGATAAGCAAGAAGATATGAAAAGTGTTTCGTGGTACGTCACTTTATACATCGCTTTTTAGCCATTTCAACTAAGTGCACTTCCTCTGTAAGACACACCGAGCAACTTGCATTGAATTCTTCTCGATGACTGTGAAGGTATGGTATTAGGATCTTCTACGGACGAGGAAGTTTGTTCTGGGAGAAAAAGGAGGAGATGTACGGGCAAATGGCGTACTTTTCGTGGGCTTGCTGCCTTGAGTGCCACTTTGACAGCCACAGCATGTATCAGTCTGAAGAAGGATATTCGGACATGTCTCGTGCGGGAATATAAATATCTTTCGATTAACAATTCAAGGTCTGATTCTCAGAAAAGACCGGTTGATCGATCACACCATAAAGAACCCCCAAATCGGAGTGGGGGGGGGGGG